CTCAGTGGTCGAGCATCAGCCTACAAACCAGGAGGTCACGGTTCTATTCCCAGTCAGGGCACATGCCTAGGTTGCGGGCTCGATCCCCAGTGGGGGGCGTGCAGGAGGCAGCCGATCAGTGATTCTCCCTCATCATTGATGTTTTTCTCTCTCGCTCCCTCTCCCTTCCTCTCTGAAATATATAAAAGAACAGCAATCAGAAGGCTTGGAAAACCTAGGCAATGTGTCCAAGACTGTCTGCACCTTCTCTGTGCTTGTCCGTGTGTTTTCCTGTCTGTGGATCTGGTCCACAAGCTCTCATACAGGCTCACCGAAGCCTGCCTCTGTTCTGAAGGCTTCCTGAACATGAGCTCAGATCATCTTCACAGTCCCCCTCTGTCATGTTATTAGCCTCATTTCACAGATGAAGAAACTGAGGCACAGACTGGTCAAGAGTCATGCCCAGCCCTGGCTGGTTTGGCTCAGTGGAGAGAGTGTCGGCCTGCAGACCGAAGGGCCCCAGGGTCGATTCCGGTCAAGGGCACATGCCTGGGGTTGCGGGCTCGGTCCAACGTGCAGGAGGCAGCCGATCCATGATTCTCTCTCATCATTGATGTTTCTCTCTCTTCCTCTCCCTTCCTCTCTGAAATCAATAAAAATAGATTTTTTTTTAAAAAAAGAGTCTTGCCCAATGTCACACATTAAACAAAGGGGAGGATCCGGTTGAAACCCAGCCCGCCAAGCCCCAGAGCCCACGCACTGAACCATGTCCTGAACCGTGTCCGCCGTGTGTCTGGTTTACTCCATAATTAAGTACGGAAATCACCGACCTGAAACCGGAATGCCTTGCTCAGCAGGGCCGGGCACCTTCTCTCCCTGGGAGGCAGACCACAGGATTACGCCCGGGACAGCGTGTCTGGGACCCAGGGTGAGAGGCAGGGTGTTAACAGAGGGCACAGGCCCGAAGCAGGACTTAGAGGCGAAGGGTCCGCGAACGCCACCGGCCGGGGCTGCTGGCTGGCCTCAGCCGGCCGCTCTGTGGGCCTGAGTCCGAGAAACATGCCTGCTTCCGAGCCCCCTTGCTCTCTTTTCGAAACAAGCAAAAGGATGATGTTAGAAGGTACCCCGTCTGAGCTTGGACACCTATTCGTGTGAGCCAGCACATTCCAGGACCTGCTGGCAATGCCATCTAGAGGCCTGAGGGGGGGGAGAGGGGGGAGTTTGAAATCACGGTGAGAGGTGAAGGCCCTGCCCCAGACAGCGCGCAGCCAGGAATTCCAGAAAGAGCCAAATGCAACACAAATATTTACAAGGGACACCGCGGAAACCAGACAGATGCTTTCTGTGTCCTCATGGCGTTAGGTCAGTCCAGTGGAGGTGATGGTGTGGGGAACAGCGACAGAGGGAACAGAATGAGCGAGGGCTCAGAGGTGGGAAAGACCTAGGGATGTTGTAGGTGTGGAAAAAGGCCGGGTGGCAGAAGGAAGGAGGCAGGGGTAAGGGAGGGAGATAGGAGCTGGAGCTGGGGAGGCAGGCAGGGGGGAAGCCACCACGGGCTGGGAGGGGGCCCCGGGGCGTTTCCATTCGAGCAGCAGGAGCAAAGGGGGCCCCGTGAGCTTCTGGCTGTGGCGTCCATTGTGGATGTGACTCATTCACTCCGTTGACAGGCTTACTCCTGACCTGGCCCTGTGCTGGGCGATGCTGGGGGCCCAGCAATGAACCTCAGCCCACTCCCTTCCCCCTCTGGTGGGGGAACAGGCACCCTATGTGGTTGGCCTTCTGATGTCCCCACCAAAGACACCCACGTTCGCCCTCACTGGTTTGGCTCAGTGGATAGAGCGTCGGCCTGTGGCCTGAAAAGTCCCGGGTTCAATTCCAGTCAAGGGCACATGCCCGGGTTGTGGGCTCGACCCCCCAGTGGGGGGCGTGCAGGAGGCAGCCGATCGATGGTTCTTTCTCATCATTGATGTTTCTCTCTTTCCCTCTCCCTTCCTCTCTGAAATCAATAAAATATATTGAAAAAAATAAAAATAAAGAAACCACAGTGTTTTGGTAGGTGTTCTCTTAAAACATATATATATATATATATATATATTTTAATCCCCAGCCGAGGCTATGAGAATAGGGTTTTCATGGATTCTAGAGAGGGAGAGGGAGAGGGAGAGGGAGAGAAAGAAACATGGATGTGAGAGACAAGCATGGGTTGGTTGCCTCCTGTCCACATCCCAACCAGGGATCGAACCCGCAACCCTTTTGTGCACATGATGCTCTAACTGAGCTACGCCGGCCAGGGTGAGAGAGCAGCCATGTTAAACCCTTTGCACACACAGATCAAAAAGGGAGTCATTTTCAGATGAACATAAAGGGCCCATGAGGTCTGATTCTGCAACTTTAAGCCTAGAAGTAAAGGTGGGGCAGGAGGCGGAGATGGGTGGGGCTGCTCCAGGGCAGAGGGCTCCCTTCTGGCCGGTGCGTGCAGGGCCTCCGGGTTGCCTGGTGGCGACCTGACACGGGAGCCTCCCTCTCCTCGTTCCTTTTGGCGTCCATTGGGGGAGATACTTGCCAACGAAGCATCGCAAATGGTGGGGGCTGGACAGGTCTCCTTAGGGATGGGAGCCAGGCGCAGGTTCCTAAACACGGATCTCAAATTTCTGGCCAGGAGCCCCATCAGCGTGTGCATGATCCAGTCCTTTAAGGAATGCTGGGGCCGCTACCCCTGTCCACTTACATCAGAGTCCAGCTCCGTTTTCCAAGAGAAGCAGATCATTGTCATTCAAGTTCAGCGGAGGAGGGTGGGCGGATGGTGTGGCACATGTGACTTCCCAGGCCCTCCCTTGGGCAGCCCAGGATCTGGGAGGACACGGCCATGGGCCTCCCCGGTAATCTCTAGCGGGGCCTCCTTTATCGACCCCAGGTCGGGTGCTGGTTGGCACAGCAGCTCTAGGGGAATGGGCGGGGCGGGTAGCCTCTGTCAACTTCCTCCATCGGCCGTCGGGGAAGACAGGTGTGACATGCGGAGCAACTGCAGCCACTTTGGGGCGAGAGGAGCGCAGCACCTCCATGACCACAGAGGGGCCGGATGGGAGACCCTGGTTCCCTGAGGGTTTGGAGCCGCCCGACCTTGGGACTTTTTGTTTGGGTGACTGTACACTTTTCCTTATTGTGTAAGTCTAGGTTTGCGTTTTCTGTCCTTGTGGCTGAAAGGATCCCATGAAGTATCTGTGTGTGTGTGTTGTGTGAGTGGGTGTAGGCAGCGGACTCATCAGGAGAGAACAGAAAGATGCCCGGAGGCAGCCTCTCAGAGAAGCTTGAATTGAATCTTAAAGCATGAGGAGGAGTTGGCAGGTGGCGCGGGGATGGGGTTTCGGAGGGAACGGCGCGGCGCGTACAAAGACAGAGGCGTGGGCTTGTTCCAGGAAGTGTATTTGGATGGAGCGGGATACACAGCAGGCCACACAGCAGTGAGATAAGGCCGGGAAGGAGGGCCTGGGCCTCCCACGGAGGCTGAGGGGCGGGAACCTGATCCTGGGCGGGGTCAGCTCTGGGACCCTCCTGTGGCTGAGTGGGCGAGGGGCCGAGGCTGAGGAGGCTGAAAGCCAGGGGTCAGGGAGTCGGCCCAGCCGTGGGCTACACAGTCTTCAAGGCATCGCTGGTCCCACAAAAGGCAGAGAAAGGTCTCGAGGGACCACCCACGCCCCATAAAGCAGCAGAAACGGGCCCAGAGCAGCAGCTGTGGGATGCAGGATGCTGGAGTGGCCCCAACCCGGAGCAGCGAGGCCGGTCCACCTACAAGGCAGGGACATGGCGGACCCCCTCCCCCCAGGAGGGAGGCGGCCCCTAAGCTAGCTGACCCTGTGAGTGCCCCCACTGAACACCAGGAGCAGGTCCCTGGAGGGGGACAGAGACCAGGGACCACACACCCGGAGGCTGGAAGCTAAGCAGCAGATAGGGGCCTGGGTAGCAAAGTGGGAAGGGCCGCCTCATCCCACTTCCCTAGGAGGCCCCGTGTTGTCCTCAGAGGAGGCGGATTGTGACGCTTCCCCGTCCTCCCAGCAGCTGCGTCCGTAGGAGCCCAGATGCCACCTTCCTGCAGGGTCACAGGTGCTGGGCATCCAGCGGGGGCAGCTCCGGGGGCTGTTCAGGGACCTTCTTTTCTGAAGCAACTGCTTCCTTCTGGTCCCCGGCTGGAGCTGGGACAGGAGCGTCATCTAGAGAGGAAGGGAGGGAAGGTAGCACTAGACACCCCCACCCTCCTCCCTCAGACCCAGGGGTCCAGGCCCCCGGCCCCTCCTCCCTCAGACCCAGGCGTCCAGGCCCCCAGCCCCTCCTCCCTCAGACCCAGGGGTCCAGGCCCCCGGCCCCTCCTCCCTCAGACCCAGGCGTCCAGGCCCCCAGCCCCTCCTCCCTCAGACCCAGGGGTCCAGGCCCAGGCCCCTCCCACCACCTGGGTGCAGGGCCAGCACCTGTGTTGTGGGGCTGGAACATGAGCTGTCCCTCGGGGCCAGGGGCTGGGGCTGGTTGGCCTTGCTGCTGCTGCTGCTGCTGCTGCTGCTGTTTCCTCTGTTCCATTTGCAGAACCGCCTGTGGAGGGTGGAGGGTGGATGGGGGGTTACACAGGCAAGAGGCTGTGAGTCTCCCCATCCTGCCAAGTGCTCGTAGTCCCTTCTCTATGGGGCTTAGTTCTTCCTCATTGACAGTTGGGTTGAATAATAACAACCCCGTGCAGCCTCCCTCGTCACGGCCCGGGTTGCGCCTTGGGAGAGAAAAGCCCTCCCTGAGCTCTTACTGGAACCTGCCCTTGTCCCCGCTTTTCCCACTTTCGCCCTCTCACAACCCCGTGCCCTTATCCAACATGGCAGCTGTGGAGGCGTCAGGGCGGGACTTCCGCCCTCACTCAAGATGGCGGCCGCCATATGCGGACCACAGGCTGCCCAGTTTCTGGGCACCCAGGCCCAGGCCCAGGGGCGTCACCTGCTGCAGCTCTCGCTTCTGGGCCTCCAGGCGGCC